TAGATTTCATTGATACATTCAAATGACACTGATGATAATAATATATCTAATAAAAATGAAAAATAGCTTAATATGTTGTGTGTTCATTTATTATAAAACAATTTGTAAATTAGATTTTGTTGTGTATATTTCAAAACAGTTTTTTAGCAGAAAAAAAGTATAGAGGCCAAATGGTCTAGAGATATCGGCACGCTTCCATGGAGTGACCAAAAGACCATTGCCCCTCTGTGTCCGAGGTACATTTATATCAGTCAATATGAACTGTTTGTTTTTCAACTCAGTGTTATCATGGTCTCTCAATCTCAAGAATCATTTGTAAACATGGGAGGGAGCCTAGATTTTCAGTCTGGGGTCCATGCAGTTGAGAAATCGAAATGTATTAAAAAAAAAATATATATATATATATATTATAAAAACATAAAATAAGTTTCGATAGTGTAGACTCATAGCTGATTCATGCAATAACAATGCCTTGTTATTTCTATAACAGGAGCAAAGGTAATTTACACAATCATAGATCAGAGATCAAGTTTTTCTGCTTTGGTGTGATTGATCTCTAATTTGTTTTTTAAATAATAATAAAAAGTGTTAAAGAGAATAAAGGGTCTTTTTTATGTCAACAAGCCTTTACTGATGAAATGTGGATCACATTTCATATTTTGAAATCACAACATGAATTTTAGAAGCGGATATTTTCAGATTTTAATTGACGTCAGAACCTGACTGATGTTGGTTTCGGACGTCAACGCGATTTTCATTTTCAACCACAATACAACGTCTGTCCAACATTCCAACGTCTCTCCCAAGGTTTTTTTCTCCATTCTGTCACCTGATGGAGTTTTGGTTCCTTGCCACTGTTGCCTTGGCTTTTGGCTTGCTTAGTTGGGGACATTTAACATTTAATATTCAATAATATTATTGATCTGCCTTACTTAAGGTGGACGTTGACGCAATTTCTTTTAGAAACAAACTTTGTTATATTGTTATATTGTTTTTGTTATATTGTTTTCATGTTATCACTGTGAAGCGCTTTGATACAATCTGTATTGTAAAAAGCGCTATATAAATAAAGGTGACTTGACTTGACTTGACAACATTGGAGATTAACGTCATTCTGACGTTGGATTCTGACACCAACCTGATTTTCATTTTCAACATTGAGTTTGGTCTTCTAAAAGCGAAATTTGTTGTTGTTTTGGAGCATACTAGCTTATAGATAACAGTAAGGCTAACATATTCATACTAAAAGCCAAAAAACTTTAAATTGGGCACTATTTGAGGGAACAGCAATTTGGGTGTCCAAAACCATTGTGGACGTTATTGAGTGCACTTATTCAATCTCACATTCAATCCCACTACTGGAACTGTGTTCTAGAAATAAATTTGATATTGATATGAGGGTAAGCAGGTTTAGATTCAGAGGCATAAGGTACTGTAAGTAGCCTATTACATACAACAATGCAACAATAATAAAACAATGCATTGACATTTACTTTTTACTTTTGATACTTTAAGGTGCAGTGTGTAGATTTTAGTGGCATCTAGCGGTTCGGTTGCGAGTTGCACTAATGGCTCAGCCCACTGCTCACCCCTCCCTTTCGAAGAAGCTACGGTGGCTAAAACGGGACAAACATATCGTCGTCTGAGACAGCAGAGAATAGCCAGAGTAAGCCAAGTTTCTGTACCACAGTCCATTATAAACCACATCATGGATAAAGTTTACAAAGCCATAGTCAGGTGAGGATCAAGGGTCTTAATATATAATATAATAATAGTAATCAGCTAATTGTCTCACGAACGTAACACATTTCTCCCCACATAGCAAACCCATGATACAGCGAGGGAGAAGAACCACATGAAACTATCCAACTACATATTTTTTCTAACAGGGTAGTAAAAGTTTAGCTGGCTAATATGAGCTGTTATGCTGTAGGGCTGTGGCTGAGCTGGTTAAAGCCAAAGCGTAAAGCATTGTTTATAATCGACGCATCCGCATGAGCGCAAAGGTGCGCGCGGAAAAAATGACGTGATTGTAACAGCGCGCGCGCCTCCGCATCCCCTATAGACACCATTTACTACACACAAATTAATAAATAAGAATGAATAAAAAAAAATTTTCTCTCTAGTTTTGAAAACTCTTCGCGATCGACTTAAAATGCTTCCAAGATCGACTTGTCGACCGCGATCGACGGGTTGGTGACTCCTGTAACGTTACTGTTTTACGGTCAATAGTACTAAGTTACATGAAACAAGAACTAAGTTACATGAAACAATCCAACTACATATTTTACACCACTGACAAGGGAAAAGTCACTACTCACTGTGTTTATGGCTAGCTTCTAGGTTTCTGCGGCTTCTCTTTCAAGGTAGTGATGAAACGCGCTCTGCAGCGCTGTGTGTTCGCTGTCGGCTACGGTAGAAACATGACGTCACAATATGTCGACCTTCATAGAAGGGGGTGCCCGCGGTTATGTAGATGTAAATGTCTCATTCTAAGGTAATAAAAACATAACGGTTCATTGAGTAAGGTCTTTATACACCACTGAACACATAGTTATGGATCTTATATTGCATTTCTGTCAATAGATCCTCAGAAATATTACACATTGCACCTTTAAGTAGGCTACTTTTAAAAACAAGTGCTTCTGTACTTTTACTTAAGTAAAAATCGGTCTTTACAACTTTTACTTGTAACGGAGTCAGTAGTATCTGTACTTTCACTCAAGTAAGAAGTTGTGTACTTAGTCCACCTCTACTAACACTGAAATGTGACAAGCTGTACACTGATTTGGGCTACATGAGAAATCACAAGGCAACATCTGCTGCCTCCTGGTGGAGATGTTAAACATATTTCCATCAGAGTTTTCCATCTTAAACCTATGAATGCTATCCTTTTGTAAATGTATAAATGTAATGTAAATGTAAAAATGTATTTAATGTATTTAATGTATAATGTATAAATGGATATAAATGGTATAAATGTATTTTGGAAGCGGGAGAATCTGATTTAAATGGTCAATTTGAGCTATGTCTCTTTCAAGAATCATTTAAGGCATCATAATTGAATAATAAAATACAAATCCATGTTTATTTTGGGTGATCTTATGTCAGGTAGTCAAACCAACATTTATTCAGACACCTTCAACATTTCTCACATTATCACAGTTTATTCGCTATAGTTTAGAAAATGGTAATACAATATGACAAGAACTCAGTTATCAAATCAGTTGATATTTCACTGGTTTTGGCCATCCTTCTGTTAGATTGTCTCACAAGTGAATTAGGTTGAATAGCAGTCAGCTGTCAGCTGTTAAATTTAAGTACACAATTAGATAATACCAATTTAGGTCAACCAATTACCAAGCAATGCTTAAATTTTGCACCCACTAATAAAAAAATATCAAAAATTATATCTGGTGTCTGATTAATTTTTGGTTTGACTGTAAATTAAGTCATTAGGAACCAAGGTATAATTTGCATTGATTGAATTTTAAAAATACTTCAAAAGCTGCCACAAAATAGCCTATATGCTACGTGAAATGTATCAGCTCGATATTTCAGTTTGATTCATCTGGGTTTGCTGGGGACTGGATGGGAAAATGTATTTAACTAAATTTTAAAGTTAAAGTGAAACGGCATGTGCACCGCGTTTTACTTTCATGATGAATTCCTTGAAACAGGAAATGTATATTATAATATATAAATAAAGGCTATAATCATTATTTAATGACCTTTCTATACTTCTACATTTTAGCTGATGGGAGTCAATAAAATGTACTGACAAGTTTAAGGTATAAATTGGTGGGCCAACATTTCTCTATATGATCTACTGTTGTAGCCTATAAATGAGGCTTAGGGTATATGCTGTCAAAAGTTTCCTTTGTCCTTAATATATATATATATATATATACAGTATATATATATATATATATATATAGGGTATATATATATATATATACCCTATATATATAGGGTATATGCTGTATATATATATATATATATATATATACCCTATATATATATATATATATATATATATATAGGGTATATGCTATATATAGGGTATATGCTGTCAAAAGTTTCCTTTGTCCTTAATATATATATATATATATATATATATATATATATATATATATATATATATATATATATATATATATTAAGGACAAAGGAAACTTTTGACAGCATATACCCTAAGCCTCATTTATAGGCTACAACAGTAGATCATATAGAGAAATGTTGGCCCACCAATTTATACCTTAAACTTGTTGTAAATGGCAATTGGCAAATGTCCTCAATATATATATATATATATATATATTAAGGACATTTGCCAATTGCCATTTACAACACAATATACCAACATAACAGTCCCAACTGGTTCAATTTATAACCTGAATATAGAAAATGCATTATTATTATTATTATTATTATAGTAAAAAAATAAAATAGTAATAATAATAAATACTGTCATAACATTTCTGTGAAATCACTGAAAAAGTCACCTATCCAAACCCTCACAAAAGTTAAAATAAAATGGTAAGTTGACAAGTTTACGGTAAATTGGTATAAATTGGTTATAGGCCAACATTTCTCTATTGGATCCACTGTTGTAGGCTATAAATTATGCTTATGTTTTCAAAAATAAAGTTAGTATCCAGTAAAAAAAAATTGAATCCAGCTGCAGACCAGTACGCGCTTTCTTTTCCGCTTGCGACCAAGAACTGTTCTTTATTGCAATCTGCTCTACTTCGGAGTGTACGGATTCGTCCAAAGAATAGCATGGGTGTTTTCCCTCACATCAACGTTGTGGGTGCTCAGAAATGATTATTTTGCCATTTTTTTGTCATCAACCAAATCGCATCGTTTCCAACATCATGAAATATAAGTTTTCAATGTGAACGTTCTCAAAGATAATACTGACATCCCATTCTCAGATAAACGAGTCCCCCCTACAGTCTAGCGGTGGACTCGTCCATTGACAGCGGAGCAGAGCTCTGTGTGTGGTGTCAGGTCTCTCGCTCAATGATGAGGTTTCAAGTGCGCCTTTGAGATGTTATGGAGTCTGTAGAATATTCTGCAAGTTATAACTTTTTCGATTTCCTTTTATTAAAACAACATTCCAACTTTTAGAGTACAAGATTGACCTGTACGTGTAAGCATACCTTATTTAGTTTTTTTGTTTTTAGGCTACAAGCTTCTGTGAGTTTTTTTTCATAGCGAAAATGTTGAAAGTTTTGTGAGGACACTCCTTCTTCAGACGGACTAAGGCTACAGCTGACAAATTGGAGAACGTATCAGCTCTGTCGTTTTCTTAGAGGTAAGTTGTTGTCTTTTTTAAAGCCTCTAATGCATTTTTTTCAACATATGCCGCTTTTTGGAACCCATTATTTGCATGATAGCGGTCCATGGGAATTAATACACTCTTTATGGCACTAAAACTAATGCATTTCAGACTAAATACTGGTCTCATGTCTCATATTAGCAGTCTACGTTGGTTTTCACGATGACACGTGTGGTTGTTTCGTTTTTCTAGGTTAGAAACATTTAGTTTTATTTATTTATTTTTAGTTCATGGCCAGGTCACCATAAAAATCCATGCATGTATGGGATGGGTTTAATGCCCAGGAAAGCTGACCTTATGATGCTAAGGGACTCTATTTTACCCTTTGCATTTAATTTGATATTTGATGCATTATATCACTAGATTCATCAATTATCCACAGAGTAAAATGACTAAATATATGTGAATATATTTAGTTAGTTACTATATAATAAAACTGTGTGTAATGTATAATTATGATATTTCTCTTATGTTATATTAATATTTGCAGTACAGCTTCTTTTCAGTGCCAGTCTGTAGGTGGTCTAATAACAATAAGTTATTCTTCCAATTCTGTTACCATTTGTATTCTTTAATTTCCCCTCTGTCATGATCACCTTCTGGGTCACAGCATGATCTTCACAGCAGGAGTAAGAGGTCGATTCCCCACTTTTCCAATCAAGTCGCTCCATGATGCCTTGCAATCATCTCAGTGGCATATCTGCCAACCTGCTATCAGCATCTGAATAAACCCGGAACCATTGTCAACATTACATTTCTATTTCCATCCCTAGTTCTGGTAAATATCAGCAAAATGAGTAAAATTGTTTTGGAGAAATTCATTCCCCGCTTATGATGATGGGAAATGTATTGGATGACCTCTTGGCATTATTAAATTTAGCGACAAGCTATTTCGGGGAAAAATACCCTGAATTCTCAGACAAGGGGACAAGTGTATTGTTTGTTTTCCTGTAATTTTACGGTCCGCCGGAGCAGCAGAAAAACTGGGTTTTCTGTTCTACTGATCTTTTGACACCTGTCAGGGTGCATTTTAGTTAGGCCACATTGGGGAATAGAAGGCTTAATGAGACACACACACACACACACACACACACACACACACACACACACACACACACACACACACACACACACACACACACACACACACACACACACACACACACACACACACACACACACACACACACACATACATACTGTTAATTGAGCTGATGTTTTATGCATGATGGGTCAAAGATGAATGCTGTACAACTGCATGCTCAATTGCACTGATGGGTACAAAATATGTCTCACTCCCACACTTTCCAGGTTACGTTTTTTTTTTCTGGCTATTTGTTCCGTGCTCATGGCAACCTGGCACATATCTTTGTTTGATTTGAATGGGATGTAATGAAAGCTGTTATTTGGAAATTATTTAAGGGCAATAGTTGCACTGTATAGCTTTTCACACTGGTCTATGAAAAAAATACATGTCATGTGAGTGTGTGGAATCTGGTGGCGAGACACAACATTCACGTGTGCCAGAGTGGCAGTGTTGTAATTGGGGCTAGTTTATTGAGACGAGGGAGGGTAACAAGATGAGTTTGTGCAACCAAGACTACTGGGAGTGAAATTGGAAACTATAGGGCTTGTGTGGAAATCATCAAGGAATGTTTAGTTATTAGATGCAATATAAGAACTGGGACTTAGTGTGACAGAGTATTCCCTTTAGAGACATGGCAGAGAGAGAACGGGCAAGGGTTAAACATTCAGTGGGAAGAAAGTGCAACGAAACTGGCATTTAGGATAAACTGAGAAAATATGTTAAACTAACAAATGCACATGTATTCTTCTGGACAGACAGCTTTAGTAAATGAAATAACATATTGAAATACTCACAAGCTTGGCTGCACATTTTGGCTTTATTTCCATAAAATGAATGACATTTCCAAACCTATTTTCACCCTTAAAGGGATTGCTAACCCAAAAATGAAATTGTTGTGATCATTTCACTCTGACGTTCCAATCCTGTATAACTTTCCTTCCTCTGTGGAAAACTTGTGCTGAAGAATGTACTAGTAATTTCTTTCCATGCAGTTACAATGAATGGTGACTAGAGCATTCAAACTTTAAAAAGGACTCTGGATCCCTATAAAAGTATCATAAAAGTGGTTCACATGACTAATGCATTTTCTGAAGTCATGCAATAGCTTTGTGTGAGAAACAGATTCAATTTACTGTAAGGGTTTGCTCGCTGTGTTCATGATAGTTCATGAAGATGTCTGATTTGTGAACAGTGTTCTTTTGAGTTGGTGATCTTTTCAGTGAATCAGTTTATTCGGTTCACAAAACTATTCAGAATGAATCAGTCTGATCCAGTTCTCAAGTTCCACTCAACTGACTGGTCCTGTATGCTAAGACCATCAGTGAATAACAAGTGAAGTGAAAACATTAAATGTCAGTCTATTCCTCTCACAAAGCTATCATAGATTTCAGAAGACTTCCATACAAAACATATAAACTGCTTTTATGATAGTTTAAGGATTCAGTTCCCATTCTTTGTAATTGAATGGAAAATGACCAGTAAATTCTCCTTTGGTGAAATTAAGTAATACAGGTTTGAAACAACATGAAAGTATTTGAATGATGTCAGAATTTTCATTTTTGGCTGAACTATCCCTATAAGAAACATGAGCTCAATCTTTCCAGTGTTAACAATGCGGAAGTTCAATGTGGAAGTAAGCTGTTTTCTGTGAATGTGTGAGACTTCCAATTCATTGGCCGCTATAGGGAAATAACGTGAAGAATAACAAAGTGCAGTAAACGGTAAAACTATTTGCACTATGTTACCAGTACAAAACCAGTTTGTTTAGAATTAAGACAATACATTAAAATATGGTTAGAAATTCAAGTTGGCAGTATCCAGCAGGATTATACAGATAAAAATAACTGTAAGAGGATGACACTAGCTGGAACATTCAATTTACAAATAGCCACGCACACTCTTGCGTGAAAAATAAGGTGGATATGTTTTCCAGTTTCCTTTGACTTGTATGTATTAACAGACAGACACCAGTTGTGAAACCACCTGTAAAGCATTATGGTTTGTGACTGGAGTGGCAGAGGATGCTTGTGAATCGTGAGGTACTGGAGCATACAGCGATACACCATCTGCTCTCAATCCGAGGAGATGTGTCACACTTTTCTCTGTTCTGATTCAGTTTTTTTGCAAGGGGCTTTTCAAGCGTTTTGGAAATTAGGGCTGTGTTCAACTCCTCACATCATGTCTTTCATTTTGGTTCCTCTTCACAGAGAATGAATATGTGAGTCTCCGCTCTATTTATGTGCCCCCTGTGATGTTGTTATTTCTGCTGGATCAGGGCCTATGGGGACCCTTCTTTTTTCAGATTTTTTTCCATTTGACAGCAGCATGAGCTTACATTTTTTCCTTCAGAATGGAAAGTTCTGGGTTTCTTGTGGCTTGGTGAGTGTCTGAGGGAAAAGAGGGAGGGAGCAGCAAGCTACGCCCATGTTTCTGTCTGTCTGCCTGCGTGCTGCCAGGCCAGTAGCTTCACCCATGTGACTCCAGACAAGGGAGGGGCCATCCTTAGGATGGCCTCGACAAACTAAGCAAACGGAGCAAAGCCATTTTCTGAAGAGGTGGACATATCTAGAGAACCAAGTCTAAAAGTACCTGACATGTATTTCTGTTAGGTAAAATGGTAGATTAGTACCTCCTTGAGAAAGTGTAGCTTTAACTGTAATAAATTAAGCATATATACATATATATTTACTATATCTTTGAAAATGAAAGTTTTTAGGTTATACCATCTCAGTTATCCATGAGTTTGTATTTATTTAGCAGAAAAAAAACTATCCGTCACAGTGTTGCTCTGTGGATGCAGCTCGAGATAGATGACAAAAGGTATTTTAGTCACATGAAGATTTATTTTTCCAAACAGAAATACGCATGTTTATGTCTTCAGGAGCACCAGGAGCTTGCTCAGGTCTGATAGTGCATGGCTCACTGACTTGTGTCTTATGACCTATGACAGTATAAGATCTTTTAAAAATCTAGTTTAAAACACAAGAAATGCACTTTTTGTATTCATGTTGGTTTCCAATGGTTTTGAAAAACTTTTAATAAAATGTAATGTAATTTAACCCTCAAGTAAAAAGTAATAATATTCTTTAAAAATAAAATACATTTAGATACATTACACGATTTATTTATTTACAAATAGCTTGAATTATTAATAAAAAATCTATACTTTTTTTTGGACCGCATGACAATTTACAACCTGAACTAACGTTTTCTAATTAAAAAATGATCCTATGTCTTTAACACACAGCCCGGAGGGTCTGCAATGTGCAATGATATCATTTTCTTTTTTGTTTTCTTTTATTTTATTTTGGTCTGGTGTTGCTGCATGTTGGTTGAACGACATGACGTTTTTGGTTATGAATTGATTTTGAAGTGGTTTTGTTCAAATATTATTTCTAAGATTTAAAAGATTGTCAAATTCTTAAAAAAGCTTTTCTTTTGAATAATTGTATGCTTTTAATGAGGCTTTCTTTCTTGATTATGATATTAATTTACCCCCCCCCCCCCCCCCCCCCCCATAAAAAAAATCTGAATGAAATGAACAGTTGGCATGCTGATCATAGAAGAGGTCCTTGTATGTATGAATTGCATTGTTTTAAAATGTATTTTTTAATAAATTCATAATTAATTCATAATTTAATCGTTCCAGACCCCAAAAAGTGTGGTGACCCTATAGTACTAAACTGTAAACAAGCGAGATTCAGAAATATGAACAGAAAAAGCAAAGAATAGAGGAAGAGGCTGTAGTGGAAAGAGAGGATAGAAGTGAGTGCATATGGCCATGTCGCGTATATAACCTATCGTTAAATTTCACTCCCTGCCACCTCACCGTTTATATGGTCTTTATATGATTTGTTTAAATAGAACGAGCAGTGCCTCACACTCTGCCCCCTCTTAACGCTGCAAGCACAGGCTCATGTACAGTAAGAGACACCAACCGTTCCAAATTACCCACACACATGCAAAAAAAAAAAACATTTCTTCCTCATCTCCCTGGTAACCCACGGCCTCTTGATTGTTGCTAAGGTGGTCTGGTGGCAGTTATGCCCTCATATGAGCCTCCCTCAATGCTGCTCAGTGCCCTCCCCCCTTTACCCCACTGTGAAGGAGTCAATAAATTCTCACCTTAACAAGGTATTAAATGGTTTCCATGGAGACCAGGATCCACTCCTTCAATTTGGAAGGCTAAGACGTTTTCCATTATTCTGAAACATACATCTGGCAGAGGAAATGTGAATCTCTTAATTGTGGCCTGCGTAGGTTTAAAAATATCTAAGTAGCTACTTTATTTCTTTGTGTTTGTGCTGACAGGGAGCAGCAAGAGTCTGCGCTAGAGTTTCATCATGGGTAAACAGAACAGCAAGTTGCGACCTGAGGTCCTCAACGACCTGCGGGAGAACACGGAGTTCACCGACCACGAGCTGCAGGAGTGGTACCGCGGCTTCCTGAAGGACTGTCCGTCTGGCCACCTAACGGTAGAGGAATTCAAGAAGATCTACGCCAATTTCTTTCCCTACGGTGACGCTTCGAAGTTCGCGGAGCACGTCTTCCGCACCTTCGACACCAACGGCGATGCCACAATCGACTTCCGGGAGTTCATAATCGCCCTGAGCGTGACCTCGCGCGGAGGCCTGGAGCAGAAGCTCCGCTGGGCCTTTAGCATGTACGATCTGGACGGCAACGGATACATCAGCCGGGCTGAAATGCTGGAGATCGTACAGGTGAGCTTTTGGTTTCATTTGTATTTCTGTATTTTAGCTGGCCAGCCATTGTTTTTAGAGAAGCTTGTTCCATATCAATATTGTCTCAGTCTAATGTTTGGTGATACAGACCTCCTGAATAAACAGATCTCCTCAATCAAGTGTTCCACAGGCCATATGGTCTTGCCACAAATGGTGACCAAACACAAAGGCTTTGTTCGCTACTTCAAAGGGACTGTTGACTCTCGATGTTAATAACATAGATGGCTCTTTTACACCTGCATCAGAGGACATGATGTAAAACAATATCTGAAAGTGACATTAAATGTATCTGTCAGAGAAACAGGCTCATGATCATTTGCATTGATTACACTGATATGAAGTGTTGATTGAAACTGTGACAGTCAAGTCACCTTTTATTTATATAGCACTTTTTACAATACAGATTGTATCAAAGCAGCTTCACCGTGATAACATGAAAATAATACAACAAAGTTTGTTTCTAGAAGAAAATTGCATCAACGTCCACCTTAAGTAAGGCAGATCAATAATATTGTTGAATAATTAAATGTCCCCAACTAAGCAAGCCAAAAGCCAAGGCAACAGTGGCAAGGAACCAAAACTCCATCAGGTGACAGAAGGGAGAAAAAAACCTTGGGAGAAACCAGACTCAGTCGGGGGCCAGTTCTCCTCTGGCCAACGAAGGAACAGTGTGTGATTCGGGCAGCGTTACAAGTCAGATTTGATAGGAACATTTAGAGTATTTATCCATTTCCATCTGTTTGGAAGTCGAAGTAATCACGCCGGTATGGAGACGAGTTGTTGAGGATCAGAGCCTATGGCCGTCGTGTCGATGAGGCCTTCACAGGGCTGATGAGGCTGGCACTTCAGGATGAGTTGGGATGGGTCCAGGCGCAGGTCCACCATAGAGGGTCCCTCGGGATAAACAGAGAAACTAATATTAGCGTAGACGCCATCCTTCTTATGACGTACCAAGTACATCAGGATTTACGGGACGTGTTCCCGGTTCCGGCTGATCTAAACTATGCAGCCTAATTTTGAATTAAGGAAGTCTATAGTGTGTTATGTGTATGCTAGGCCAAAGAGATGTGTTTTTAGTCTAGATTTGAACTGACAGAGTGTGTCTGCTTCCCGGACAATGTTAGGAAGATTGTTCCAGAGTTTTGGTGCTAAATAGGAAAAGGATCTACCGCCAGCAGTCGATTTTGATATTCTAGGTATTATCAACTGGCCGGAATTTCGAGAACGCAGTAGGCGTGAAGGACTATAATGCGTTAAGAGCTCGCTCATGTACTGCGGAGCTAAACCATTTAGTGCTTTGTAAGTAATGAGCAATATTTTAAAATTTATACGGTGTTTAATAGGCAGCCAATGCAGTGTTGACAGAACCGGGCTAATATGGTCATATTTCCTGGTTCTGGTAAGAACTCGAGCTGCTGCGTTTTGAACTAGCTGTAGTTTGTTTATTAAGCGTGCAGGGCAACCACCCAGTAGAGCATTACAATAATCTAGTCTTGCTGCGTTCTTTTGCATCATTTGCAGCATTATAAAGACAAACGTGTTGCTACTGATAACTGAAACCTTTGCATGTGACCACAAACTACCATATGTTTTGACACGGTTACATTAATTTTCACAGGCAATTTATAAAATGGTGTCATCTGTGATGAAGATGCCCGAGGATGAGTCAACGCCAGAGAAACGCACAGATAAGATATTCCGACAGATGGACACAGACAACGATGGTACGCCTCCTGAGATCCGTCTCCCACTCACTGATAATATTTATATAGACTCTTAAAGTTGAACCACGCAAAATATGCACTGCAAAAAATGATATGCTGTCTTTGTTTTAGAGTAAAATCATCTAAATCAAGATTTGTCTTGAAAGTTTACTTTTCCTACCCAATTGCCAAATAGTTTTTTTCCTAAGCCAAATTGAGTGTTTCTTATGCAACTTTGCTTTCCAAGTTGAAACCAAGGCAAACATACGAATTAAGAAAATCATTTGTCACAGTGTCTATGACAACCACAAATGAATAAAGTCATATTTAGGATTAATTTAAGTTCCAGGATATTTGATCACCACTGAAATGTTACTCTTGGAAATGAACAAAATAACCCTTTTGTTGTTGTTTTTTTTCAAATCTATAGGCAGACTGTCTCTGGAGGAATTCATCAAAGGTGCCAAGAGCGACCCCTCTATTGTCAGACTACTGCAGTCTGACCAAAGCACCTCTCAACAGTTATAAAACAGCTCTTAAATGCAGCTGACAGGCGCCACTCACATGCACACTGAAAAGACAAGATTTAAGAAAATGGAGTTGCTGGCGTTATCAATGATACATTTCTATCTTTCCTGCTTAAAAAGTTTCCTTGTTCACGGTTGGTTATCTCTTTCATCATTCCAGCCTGGTTTTATTTTGATGTAATTCTGTTTGGATTGCCATTGCTGAGTTATCATAATGTCTGGGCCGGGTCGGATTGTGAAGGACCTCTTGAAATCAATTGTCAAAATTCACTTTTAGCAGATATTCACATTTTTAAAACTGAATTCCTCAGGGTCTCGTTTATAAAATGTGCGCACACACATTTAGCATGCGTGTGCTAAAATCCACACCAAAGTTCTTAGCACCACGTCAGGGTCTGAGCAGACGTACGCGCTTTTCCTTGTGAAAGAGGGTCGGAGTATTGCAGGGATTTGGAAATCTAAGCAATTCTTGCCGCTCTCTATTCTCAAGTAAAGGATTTGGACGTTGACGTGCTCTATTATATGTATCGGAAACCATTCAGCTGGGCACAATTTCAAGATTATTTGCAATTTATATAAATTTCACTTCTGGAAGAGAGGCGTATGCATGTTTGTTCTCTGAATCACACGTACGCACATTTGAGAAATGAGCGTAAGATTAAATGTAAGACGGTTTCTTCGCAACATTTTATAAATGAGGCCCCTGAGGATTGGTTGAAATAGACAGATTTTTGTCAAATCAAATGCTCTCTAGAATGATGCTGCAGAATTGTCGTTGCTTCATGATATCTTTTAGTGATGACTAGAAAATATGTCTATTTTCAATGGTTTGCATTCCACTCAAACTGTAAATTAGTCGTCAGTACCACGTGCACATTTCCAGAATGGCTATTCAGCTAAAACATGAAGTTTCTGCTAGTAAATATTTCATTTGTTTTGCATTCAATCAAGCTAAAGTATCTCCAAAGCACTATTTTGGTTAGATGTTGGGTTTTATGCATCAGGTGCATTCGGAGCAGCCTGCTGTCCGGCCAATTATGATCGACTTTGTTCATTTTATTTTAAATGGAAAGTATTGCTTCTTTTAGTATGTAACAGAACATGCCAACAGTTTTGGGTCAATAAGTCTATTTATTTTTTATTTTTTTGAAGGAAATTACTTTTATTCAGCAAGGATGCATTACATTTTCTACATTGTTACAATTTTTGTAAATAAATGTTCTTTTGAACTTTCTATTCATCAAAGAATCCGGAAAAATGTATCCACTGTTTCTACAAAAATATTAAGCAGTGTGTAATCCAGCTAAAGCTTCAGTTTTGCCATCACAGGATTTCATTACATATTTAAAATATATTAAAATAGGAAAGTTATTTTAAATTGTATAAAATATTTAATAGTATTACCGTTTTACTGCATTTTTGATCAAATAAATGCGGCCTTGGTGAGAAGAAGAGATTTCTTTCAAAAACATTTAAAACATCTTACTTCAACCAAACTTTTGAACAGTAAAGAAATGCCTACTGTTGGTTGTTGGGGTTTAATTTTCATTGCATTTTGATTTCATTCAAATTTAGCATTTAGATTTCAAATCAATATAAATACACTAGAATAAATGGGTCAGAAATGTGCAATTTATTCATGCATAATTATTTTTCTCCGTTTTGGTTTCAGTTCTAACAAGCAGACAGACAAACATTTCTGCCCTTAAGTTAAACAACAACAACAAAAAACAGCAACCATCAGTCTTTAGGCTACTCATTAATATTTAAACGCTATTGTCCAATTGGACATATGGCACAGATAGAATGGCAGACAGGTGGTTAGTTTCTAGTTTTCCTTTTACCAGTCCAGTGTCAACATGAACAGTACAAATGCTGTTGGATAAGTAGCTTCATGGAACGTAACAGTAATAACTAACTGTCTTCTAAGTTTCTGCTAATGGAAACATTGGAAAATGCTCATAATTTGCTCTTTTGCATGTGTGGTATTTTATTCCTCTTAGTATTTTTTCTCTGTAAAATGATTGTTGAAGTGAAATGCCAAAACTAATATTTGTACTGGATATATATATACACATATATATATATATTAGCTTTACGAGCCATTTCTAATTTTGTATAGTTAATTGTGGTGATGGTTGTATACTGCAGCTGGGATTGAGATGTCCAGACATATTGTCAAGCCAAAGCATCAGTAAGAATCTGAATGTTGCATCTTTACAACTGAATATTGTATTTGTTTGCATGAATTCTCAATAAACCACTGATTCATAGCAGGCCACTGGTGTCTATCAGAATAGCTTCTATAATAAAAACGACTCAATTTATTATTTTTGTTTTATTTTCATAACAAAAACATTTATTTCAAAACAAAGCTGTGTAAGAAAAATCTACACAACACCCACATTACACCTGGTCAAACACAGACAAATGGGCAATCTGGGATACAGGTTGGCTGCCATTCTTTTCAGTAACACAATTTTAAAACAAATAGCCAAATAATAATAATAAAAGAAAAAAAGAAAAAGTCACATGAGAGGGATAAAGGGTGAAAATGGAAACCATGTTAAGCTTCTTGTAACTCCAGTGCAATGAGGTGCTGAAATCATAGAAAGGCGGATATAAATAACCACTGGTTTATCTCATTACCAGAAAGACCAGTACCACCTGATTAAATCTCGTCAATGAAACCGATATTAGAAAGTGTTCTATTAAGAGCCTCTGTGTGACGTCTGCTTACTGGAAACAAGTGATTGATAATCAGTCACATTCTGCTTCATCAAGCTGATTGAAAGATCCAATCAGTCACAAAATCAAAATGTGAAGGAACTTGAGGCAGAACATAGCTCAATCATGATGTACATACTGAAAAGCCTAATTTTTAAACTAACAGGGGGGTGTTTTCTTTTAAAAAGCTGCACAACCATTTGCTTTATTTGTATGTTTTCACGAGTCTGAAGGAAGTTCATGTCCCTACCATCCCCTCATCCATGGGAGAGAAGACATGGGCATCATTTGTGTCTCAGAGATCTAGAGTGGTTTAGACCAGGCTCATAACTCATCCTTCTCCAGATCGTCCAGATCCACGTCGCTCAGGTCAATGTCATCCTCCATGGGCAACTGAGGAAAGGCAAAAAAAAAAAAAAAAAAAAAAAGGGGGGTTGAAAACAGGAAAGGATGACATCCATCCACCCTCACACTGTTCTCTCTACTCACCACTCCATCTTTCCCATCCCAAGGCTCCACAGTGTTGATCTTAGGCAAAGCTCCGCCTCCCACCGTAGCAGTGGAGCCACGGCCAACAGAAAGTTCCCTGCATAAATAAAGACATTAATAGTTTAACAACATAAAACAGGCAGACAGTTAGAAGGGCCATTATAAACAACACCTTAAATTTACTGTATGCGAACAGTCTCTGTGACGTAACTTGTTTCCTTGTAACATAAACTCCAGCCTTCTGTTACCTGAGGAATTCGTGGATGCCCGTTTCACTGAATGAGCCTTTAAGCAGAGCGAACTTCATCTTGCGAGCATTAATGGCTGCCATGGCGGGATAGCCAAATCCACCGATCCCAAGAGAGGCCTCCAGCTCCATCTGTGCCCCTGCTTCAGTCCACAACCAACTGTGTAGAGAGAGGAAAGAGAGTGAGTGATGTGTATGACTGCATCCCGCTCTCTATTCCCTAAAGTCTCGTCTCTGGCACACAAGAAGCGACATGTACTGGTGTTATTTATGGGCAGGCTGATCTCAACTTGTACTCTAGACGATGCTGAAAATACTGACCCCCACATCTTCTTCTTGTATTTCTCTGCCATCGTCTTCATCACTTCCATGTAAGAGTTTCTTCCAGATGCACCTGTGAGAGCAGAGAGAAAATCTAAATAACAGTGTTGTTGTTGCATCTTATTGCTTACTAAAACTATTACAAATTGTTGCTTAATTGAAATAAAGCAGAAATAAAATATATTATAAACTTACACATTGCCTTGGCAACTAACTGACTAAAGTTGAAGAACTAAAACAAAAATAATAATAATAAACATTAAACAGAAACTTATTTTTTTTTAAAGACAAAATTACTAAAACTTCAGTAAACAAATGAAAACTAACACTGCAATAGTATATAATACTAAAATAGCACTGTATATTAACCATCAATCATGTTTCTTACATATGCGTCTTACACAGTAAGCTGAAAATTAATCACTTATAAAATGACCATTGCAAAAAATGTGTATATATATATATATATATATATATATATATATATATATATATATATATACACACACACAATTATATTTTAATTCTAGACTATTTCTTTTGTAAAGAAAAGTTAACTAAAATCAATAATTTAAATGCAACAAGTGAATTGAAGCATCACACCATTATAATTTGTACAGTATGAAAAAAAATTGTTGAGGTATAAAGATTACATTTAAAAGTTATTAAATTAGTCTTTATCTTGTCAACCAAGTGAACGTTAGATGACAGCAAATGTAAAATGGAGGAAATGATCATCCAGAAATCCAATAATCAGCCAAGAAAAAAAATGTATCCAATAAGTTTAACCTATAACTAATATATTGTGCATCCCTAGTGACATCGCTGTTTAAGAGGCTTGTCATTTTCAAATTTTTCTTCTTAAAAACAATAGTTTTGATGAAATCACTCGATGTGTTTTAGGTTGACGTCGTATCGTACCTGTGTCGAGAATGTGAGGCAACACAGCTATCATACATAGCTGATAGTCCTCACAGGTCTTCTTCAAAACGTCTTCACTCACAATCTAAGGAAATAAAAACCACATGAATATAAACCAAACTAATACCTTTTATTTCTTTACAAAATGTTATCAAAATAAATGGTAACCCTTTACATGTAACAAGGACACAGTAAAATAGTTACTATAGTAAGATCTATGAATTATGAATAATTGCATGCAACTACCTTAACCAAACCCCAATCCTAACCCTCTAGTGAGTGCATTTAAAAATAATACACATTAGTTACACCATATTCTATAATATGCTTAAAAATAGAAGAGAAAATACTCACCTCTTGAAGCTCTGGAGGAGAGATGTTATCAGAGA